CTGCCAATCGCCACCTTGGAATTCCATTGTACAACCTGTATGTGCCAGTCGAGACTCACCCAGAGTCCCCGCGCACCTGACAGACCACCCTGACACCCTCTGGACAATGTGCTATAAGCCATAATGTAAAAGGTCCTGAAATCTGTCTCAAACCATTCTGCTCGTTCAACCCACTTCTAAACTACACAGCTTCCTCTGCCGCTGCTTTCAGGTCTAGCTCGATTCCTCATCTGAGTTGCCAAGAGCCTGGACTTAGCCCCTTACCCCTCCAGAAACTTTAAGGACAGAAGGATCTTTGCCAATCTTTTCTCCCAATCTGCTATTTAATACTCAGCAATAGCAGCGATATATGCCATTACAGATAAAACTGGAAAACACGATGCCAAGTGAAAGAATTCAGTCACAAAAAAACAATTCATTCCATGATTCCTAGGCCGAGAGATAGTAGAGGAGGTAAGGCCTTGCATGTAGCCAATCCTGAACCACATATGATCCCAGAGCGCTGCCAAGAGTGATCTCTGCATACACAGCCAGGGGTAAGCCCTGAGTACTATCAGGTGTGGTCCCCAACCCAAACAAAAATATATTTTGTGGTTCTATTTATAGAAAATGTCCAGAGCTGGTAAACTCACAGAGACAGAAAGTAGATTTCATGTTGAGGGGACGGGACAAGGGAGAACCCGGAGTGAGTGCCTGAGGACCTGGGTTTCTTCCTGAGCTGATGCAATGTTCTAAAATTGATTGCAGTAATGCTTGCACAATTCTGTGAATATGCTAAATATCGCTGAGCTCTACAGTTGCCCAGGAGCTGAAATAAGCCTATATTACGACTTGAGAAAGATGGCAGCGTCTCCTCTCACCGACAAATTCAAGGCAAGTCTCAGACTCTTGCTGCAGGCCAGAAGGTAACATGTGGGGGCAGGGGGGGGTGTTGGATGGGATGACGTGCCATGCGGCATGGTTTCAGGGGGGCTTGGGAAAGGCAGAGCACGGGTGAAATCAGGGTGAGATCTGATAGTAGAATGGGTCACGGAATATTTCAGAAGGAGAGACTCTGGTGAAAACGGAAACCACTTCAGTGAAACCAAGTTTCAGCAGAAAAGGCTGAGGTTAGCGGGAGAAGGGTGGGGTTTGACTTTGAAAGTGTGTCTAGGATGGATGCTTTCCTCTCTTAGTCTGTGAATCTTTTGAAAGGAAAGAAATGGGGGACGGATATTACAGCGCATAGGGTGCTTAACCTGCACACAGCTGACCCAGGTTTGATCCCCAGCACGCCATATGGTCCCCCACCCCACCAGGAGTGATTCCTGAATGCAGAGCCAGTCGTAAACCCTGAGCACTGTCAGGTGTTCCCCCCCCCCCCCGCCCCCACCCCATTCAAAAAAATAAAGAAAAATAAAGAAGAGGCTCAGTGGTACTCAGGGTCCTGCACACAAAAGGCCTGATTCCCAGCACCAAGCACGAGCCCAAATATGGCTGTGTGAGGATCTAAAATGGAAAGAATTCCAAGCTGGGCCTGGGGGCAGGAGAGATAGTCCAGGTGCTTGCGTTGCAGGCTGCTGACCTGGATCTGATCCCTCAAACCCTTTATGGTCTCCGAGCACCGCCAAGAGTGATTCCCTAAGGGCTGGAGCGATAGTTCAGGGGGTAGGGCATTTGCCCTGGAATCCCGTGCTTAGCCTGGAATCCTGGAGTCCTGGTGCAAGATGCTTGGAGATGAGCATCTCCTTTCTGGGGCTGCTTCTGGAATGCTCTCAGGCTCTCTCTGGGCTAGCTATCTGCTTTGAACCCAACCCTCCCACTCACTAACTTTTCCACCCTCCCAGCCAGCCAGCTGAGGGTCTTCACTATGGAACGGGCTGTTGACACTCTTTACGATAGCCAGAAACTGGAAAAAACCTAAGTGCCTGAGAACAGATGGCTGGTTAAAGAAACTTTGGTACATTTACACAATGGAGTACTGTGTAGCTGTTAGAAAAGATGAAGTCATGAAATTTACATACAAGTGGTACTACATGGAAAGTATCATGTTAAGCGAAATTTTTCATTTTCATTTCATCATCCTGTTATTCGTCGATTGCCTCGAGCAGGCCCCAGTAACGTCTCTTTCATCCTAGCCCTGAGATTATATTCAAGGCTCTTTAGGAGAATGAGACCCATCATTGTTACTGGTATTTGGCATATTTGGTACGCCACAGGGAGTTTGCCAGACTCTGCCCTGTGGACAGGCTACATTCGATAGCCTGCAAGTTTGTCCAAAGTAGGAATGAGATAATAAGATGTCATAAAAAGATGTTCTGATAAGATGTTGCGCGGCCGCAAATGCGGCTGCGCGGTTCCAAGAGCTGAATTTTATAGTCTCTGAGTCTTGGCCATTGATGGGATTACACGGTGAAATGAGTCAGAAAAAGAGGGATAGACATAGAAAGATTGCATTCATCTGGGGAACATAAAGTAACAAAATAGGAGACTAACACCCAAGAGTGGCCGAGATTAGTACCAGGAATTTTGCTCCATGGCTTGGAGGCCAGCCACACATGCTAGGGGAAAAGGGAGCTCAGATAGAGAAGGGAGCACCAAATAATGGGTGTTGGGAGGATCCTTCCAGGATGGGAGAAGCATGCTGAAAGTAGACTATAGACCAAACGTGATTGCCACTCAATGCCTCTTTTGCAAACCACAACACCCAAAAGGAGAGAACAGACGGGAATGCCCTGCCACAGAGGCAGGGTGGGATGGGGGGGGAAGGGTGGTGGGAAGGATACTGAGACCCATGGTAGTGGAAAATGGGCACTGGTGGAGGGATGGGTACTCGATCATTGTATAACTGAAACCCAAGCACAAAAATTTGTAAGTCTACAACTGTACCTCATGGTGTCTCACTAGTAAAAATTAAAAAAAAAGAAAAAAGAAACGGGCTGTTGACAGCACACAGTGTCTGGGGTGAGTGAGACAGTAATCTCTGGAGCACTGAAGTCAGTTGCTGGTGAAGTGGCTGATCCCTGCCAAGTCTCCGCCCCTCCCCATCCACAGGCGTGAGGTCTGAGGGGCCCAGTTCAGGGAAGAGTCACCGGGCAGATGAGGGTCAGAGTGCTGGCTGGAAATGGTCTGCAAATAGCAGGGGTCATTGCTCAACCCTGCTGGTGGGGCGCATACTTCCTGTTTTCAGTTTCTCTGAGGCCTGATGCTGGAGCTGTTCAAGTTGAAACACGATTATTTTTCAGCCCCTGGAGGGAAAGGCAGAGACTGAGGAGCAACTCAGTCTGGGCTGGGCACCTGAGTGTCAAATCATGACTTTTCTGGCAAATTTCAGGTCCCATAAAACACACCTGTGTAATCCGAAGTTCCCCTTCCGTTCTGTGACAACGGACATAGCTTTGCTATTATGGCATTGCTCTTGTGCTCTTCATAGGTGCAAGGATTATGCCAAGAGAGTTCAGCACTCATGAACCCTTAGAACAATCTGGAGGGAGATGCTGTCATCTCCTTTTTCACAGGTGGGGAGACTGAGGCACAGAGATCACCTGGCTGCAGCATCCTTGCTCTGGACACTGCACAGGATAGTGTGGGGTCCTGCGCACTAAAGGCTCCAGACCGGGGTCTTGCCCACCCAGGCCACCTTCCAGGAAACCTCTGAGCCAGACCCCCGAGCCCTTCTCCAGAAATTGCTCATGCAGAGAGCATGTGGCCACCACAGCAGGAACTTTCTGGGTCCTTCATCTCTCCAGGGATCCCACTCAGGGGCGAACAGACAGAACCTCTGGGGAGTTTTTCCAGCATCACAAGGCCTGGTGCCAACCCTGAGCTGAATCAGCCTCTCTGGGTGGAGCAGAGGCACAGATATTTTGGAAAGGTTCTCAGGTGACTTAAAAACATTGCCAAAGCCCATTAACATGGTTTAGAAATTCAATATTTGGGAACCCCCTAATCCCTCTCAGTTGACCTGTTCTGTCCCAACTCTTCAGACACTGAAGCTCTGTTCAAAAATATACGGTCACCCCCACTCTTAGCCAATCACCCAGTCTTAGTTTTCTGCTGAAGGAACAGCCATAGCTTTTCAAAGGTCCCATGAACACACCAAGAAACCTGTGCCAGCACCCCTAACACCCTCCCTCCCACCCCAGACCCCTGTCCATTCCATCACCCTCTGCCTCCGCTGCACCCGCCCGTCCCCCCACACCCTGTGATTAGAAAGGCTTTTCTGTGCCCTGAATGCCAGGTCTCACACTAGGCTGGGTTTGGGATCAGGAGTTTTCACTCATGCAGGCGTCCTTCTCAGTTAAGGACTGTCCAAGGATTGCTGGGGAACAGAGCAAAGAAAATATTATAATAGGGGTGGAGATAGCACAGGGGTTAATGCACTTGCCTTACACGTGGCTGACTTAGATTTGGTCCTTACGATCACATACGGTCCCTGAGGACCACTAGGAGTGAATCTTGAGCACTGCAGGGCATACTCCCAAACCCTCTCCCAATAACAGAAATATGATGGGACTGATTCTAAATAGGACTGCGTGCATAGATGGGGTTGCACAGAGGCATTGGCTGAGGAGAGAACCGGGGAATGGCATCCACCTGCAAGCCATGTACCCAGCTGGGGACCCTGGCCTGGGCACCTGCCTGTATTCCTACACTTCTCGTGCTCATGAGGAGCTGCACTGTGGCTTGGCTCCCCAGCTCTGCTTCCCAGAGACCCACTCGATCCGGAAACATAGCCCCACTGAAAGCTCTGGGCTGTTCCCACCATTGTCATTTTCTATCTTTTGTCTTGTTTGGGGGCCACACCCAGCGGTACTCAAGGCTTACTCCTGGCTCTGCATTCAGGGATAACTCCTAGAGGGCTACAGGGATGTTATGGGGTCCAGGATCGAGCCCCTGTATGTTGTGTGCAAGGCAAGTGCCGTCCCTACCCACTGCACTATCTCTCTGGCCCCACGTCATTTTCTGCTTTTTATGTCCTCGACCTCCCTCCCACACAAATAACAGGCAAAGACTTCAGAGGAAAAAGAAAATCACCTTTAATGATCACCTATACTCAAAATTATAAAAAATAGACATAAATAAAAATAGTGGAATATAATTAATTAAATATTCAGTGTACAGGAGTGGTACTGACCCCACTCAGTGAGGATGATATGAACGAGGCAGGGAGGTCTGAAGCGATAACTGGCCATAAAAGTGGGTCACATGTGTGGAAGTGGAATAGACGCAGAGTGCCGGTTGCGGGCTGTGGACCAGAATGAACTTTCACGGGCTTCAGCACCTGGAGGCTCAGAGCTGACCTCTCCGGACGGGTCACAGAGTGGAAGGGAAAAGCGAGGCTGATCCAGCTCCTCCTCACACAACACAGCCCACGCACAACCAGCGTGTAAACACACACACACACACACACACACATTTCCCGATACATTCGCGGAATGTCAGCGTTCCTCTCTTAGTCACTAGGCTCTTCCCTCCCCAGAGTGCTGTTCCCACGTTGGCCAAGCTCCCTCACGAGATCTCAGTTCTGTTACACTTCCTAATTGGGAAACGGTCCGTTTCCCCACCGCAGGCCATGAGAACACCCTGCACAGGGGGGAGTCAGCTCTTCTTCCTCCCGGGTGAGGAGACGCCATGGTTAACTCCAAGAGGGCTTCCATCCTGAGAAAGGTCAATACTATCATGGGTCAGGCCTGCCCCTCCATCCCGGCCAGCGGGCGGCGGGGTCTGAACAGCGAGCACCCAGGCCTTGGATTTGAGCTAAAGCGAGTCGCTCCCCAAGGGGCGGCCTAAGTCAACATTCCTCAGTTCTGACTGTTGGCAAGGCCCCTTGTCAGGAGTGACTGTCAGCGGGAAATGACATCTTCTGTAAGTAAGAAGTAAGGTACACGTGTCTTCTTTCAGCTCCTGCGGGCCTCGGAGGACCAGTCCCAGTCCCAGTCCCGCTTGTCATCCCGGGTGTGAGTCTGGATCCAGGATAGGAAGCGTGAGACCCTGGTGTAGACACCCGGCTTGTTCTTCTCGGCACACCCACTGCCCCAGCTCACGATGCCAGTAAGAGACAGGCGGCCTTGGATGGAACAGACGAGTGGCCCCCCTGAATCTCCCTGTGAAGCCAAAGACGCCAGCAGTAAGCCCTGAGAGAAGTGAGGAGCGGGGACCATCCCATTCAACCCCGAACATGCCTAAGAGTGAAGGGGCACTTCCTAGAGTCAGAATCCTCCGGGACTTTCCATTTGTCGCCCACACTCAGCTTAACATCCTTGGCATGGGGCAGGAGAGAGAGCACAGCGGGTAGGGCGCTTGCTTTGCAGGTGGCTGACCCAGGTTCGGTGGTTTGATCCCAGGGACCCCAACAGTCTCCAGAGCATAGTTAGGAGTGACCCTGAGCAGAGCCAGGAGTAAGCCCTGAACAGGGCTGAGTGTGGGGGCCCCCTCCCAAATCCTCCGCTTGGTCTCCAGACCCTGCTGTTCCCCGTCACCCATCCAACTTATACTCAGACCCTCTTCTCTTCATCCTGGAATGTCACTGCTCATCTCATTTCTGTGTCTTCCAACTGAACACTCCTCTCCCCTCTGCCTCCTCGCATCCCTTTGGTCTCTCCCTCTCTCTCTCTCTCTCTCCTCCTCCGCGTCTCTCTCCCTCTCCCTCTCCCTCTCTCCCCCATCCCTCTCACTCTCTCCATCCCTCTCTCTCTCCCTCCCTTCCTTCCTCTCTCCCTCCCTTCCTTCCTCTCTCCCTCCCTCCCTCTCTCTTTCTTTCTCTCTCCTCCTCCCTCTCTCTCTCCCACTCTTTCCCTTCCTCCCTCGTCTCTCTCTGTCTCTCCGTCTCTCTCTGTCTCTGTCTCTCTGTCTCCGTCTGTCTGTCTGTCTGTCTCTCTCTCTCTCCTCTCTCTCTCTCTTGTTTTAGGGCCACACCCAGCGGTGCTTGGAGGCCCCTCCCTTGGATGGGAGCTGGGCTTCCAGCATTACCCTCCCCAGTCACCTCTCCAAAACCTCACCTGTGACAGCTAGCTGCCCTCCTCTCCTCCCTTAAACATCTGATCTTTCACACCACACCCTGCGTTCTTTTCTCTGTCTCACAATCTAGGGCCCCTTTCTTTGCTGCCACCCTTGTTTGATGTGCCTGCTACAGAGCCAGGCTTTGTGACTAATATTTGGGAAACAATTAAAAATTGAGTTAAACCTTCAAAGAACTGATCTCCTGATTCTCGCTGGTTAGGGCTTTGACTGAAGGGAGGTACCCCTAAGCTGGGAGACCTGGAGCGGGGGTGGGGGGGGTGATGGAGAGTGGCTGAGGACTCTTACCTGGCAGGAATCCGTTTCCCACTGAGGGTCGGCAGCACATAGCATTTTGTGGGTGACCTCAGAGCCATAGTAGTGGGGCTGCTGACACTCCCGGTGGGAGATCAGCTTCACGACCGTCATCTTCAGCTGCTCCGGGTACATATAGTCAGCTATGGGCAGGACACAGGAGTTTAGGTTACCTTTATTATTATTGTTTTTGTTGTTGTTGTTGTTATTTGGGGGCTATACCCAGTGGCTTACTCCTGGCTCTGTACTCAGGGATCACTCCTGGCAGACTCAAGAAACCATATGGCATGCTGGGGATCAAACCCAGGTCCATGCAAGATAAACACCGTACCTGCTATACTGTCTCTCCAATCCCAGAGGAGTTTAGGTTAAGACTGTTTGTCCTGGGGACTCTGGCTTAATATGGAAAATCCTCTTTTTCTTTCTCTCCCCAAGTCTGAGCCTTCACTCCACGTCCAGCCCTTCATCGCCACCCCCCCCGCCCCCAGGGCTCCATCATTCCCCAAAACACACTCCCGGCTCCACCCCGGAGTCCTACACTGCTCCGCCCTCCTCCCATCTTCGCACAGTCGCCCTGAATCAAGCTGAGCTCACTTCCGGGACCTTGTCAGATCACCCCGAACCTCACTCACAGGGATCCTCTTTTCCAAAGCCGGTAATCTCGCAGTTTGTGCCAATCCGGTTGTCGCCATACAGCGGGGGCAGGCAGATGGTCTGTACTGAGCGCGAAGGCTGTGCGCACTGGCCCAGGCTCGACCTGATCTTCAACAAGGCTGGAGGGAGGAGAAAATTATCACCTGGTTAGAGGCCACCATCTCCCACTCCAAGCTCTGTGGCAGATGGTGACCTTCCACAGGGCAGTTAGGGTCAGAGGTCACCTGTCTCCTGAATGAAAGGAGTTTTCTCTTCTCTTCTGGAGTATAGCAAGGAGTGAAGGATAGGCCATGACCAGCAGTGCTTAGGGCTTACTGCTGGCTCTGAGCTCAGGGATCACTCCAGATCTCACGAGAGGTGCCAGGGATCAAACCAGGTCAGCCACGTGCAAGGCAAAGTGCCTTACCCACTGGACCATCACTCTGGGCCCCTATGTATATCGTAAGGGCTTTGCTTCAGCCGGGGCTGTGAAGACTGTTGCATATACTCCTTAGGGCTTTCCCTTGCCAAGAGCCCTCGCCAAGGTAACTTTTTGGGCAGAACTCCAAGACAAAGATCAGTTATATATCCTGGGACAGAGGCTGCATGCAACAGGGGACAAGGTGTTGCAGCTCACCCCATGCGCCCACGGGGCCACAGTCACGGCCATCCTTTGGTTTGGGAAAACCAGGGTCTCCAGAGACAAACACCTTAGTGATTCCGCTTGGAACCCTTCCCACCTCTCCTTTCATTATGTGCAAGCAGGTTCTTCAAGCTCCCGAAGCCCCAGCCTACCAGCTGGAAGCCTTCCAGGCCGCCGTCAAGATGACTGAGGCCCGCGGGTTTGCCACTCACCGATATCGTTGTGGTGAGCCAGCGTGTCTGCACTGTAGTTCTCGTGCAAGATGAGCTCTTCCACCTCAAACTTCTGCTCCCCGGGGGTCCCGGAGTTGAGCATTGACCGACCCAGGTAGACGATGTAGTCCTCCTCCTTCTTGGGGTAATGACTGTGGAAGGCAACCCTCGTCAGCCAGCTCCATCTCAGGTCCATGCCCAAGATGACCAGAGAGTAGGACCTTGCCCCCGCCCCCCCCCCCGCCCACAGCTACCCCCTCAGGGGCCCCTCAGGAGAGGTGCTGTAGGCTTAGAGCTGAAGGACTGTCTTTAGGACAGAGAAAGGGATGTTTTGCAGTAGGCAAAAGGTCAGGGAGAAGGGATGGAGGGATGAAGGGACGTACATGAAGCAGTGTACGGCGCTGACCACCCAGCATGGGCTGATGAGGCTTCCACCACACAAGTAAGAGACCGAGCCGCTGCGGTGCCTCCGGTAGATGGCTGCGAACCAAGGCTGATTCTCAATGTAGGTCTGATCCCCGCCAACAATCTTGAAGCGGGGTCTCAGAGTCTTCTGGCCGCACTGAAACTCTGAGTTCACTGCAGGGGTTGAGAAAGACCCTCTTCCTGAAGGAGAAGAGAGAGAGAGCCCTTAGGGATGCAGGCAGGATAGAGTATTCCTCTCCTCAAAGGGCTAGAGCACATGCATTGCGTGCAGGAGGCCCAGGGGCTATGACAAGCAAGGCACGGTCCCCTGAGCACGGTCCCAAGTGCCCTATCCCGCCCAGCACCAGAGGTGTGGCCCAGAACAAAACCAAAGAAACATCTCTTCCTCTGACCTCCCAAACTCCCAGTTCTTTGGGACCAGGCAAGCTCCTTCCTCCTGCCTCCTGTGATGGACTAAGGGGACATGTGGACTGTGGCAGGCCAGTGGCACTCACCCTCGGAGCAGTCTTGCACCCTGCACTGCTGGACCAGCTGCCTTAGGCCCACCTGCACATAGCACCACGGCCTTCTCTGATTGTCAGGGTTCCTGGCAACATGAGAAGGGAGTTGGCATCCACCAGAAAAGACTCAGCCAGCAGCCTGGCTTGCTCCTCCTCTGGCCAGCGCTCTGGAAACAGCGATGGACACGGGGTGGGGGTGGGGTGGTCTGGGAGGACACTGACAGAGCCTCACCACCTTGTCTCACCTGCAGAAATTGTGCTTCCCCAGGCCCAACTGAACGGCGTCATGTCTGTGGGCATGGTACGTGTTCTTCAGGACAGCCGGAGAGTTCCAGGCCAGGCAGGGCCGGCCCATGATGTCCATGTCCGCCTTTCCTCGGTACCTGTGGCCATTCCCATCGTAGCAGGTTTTTGATGTATCTAGGGAGGGAGGAGAAGCTCAGACGGGCATCTAGGACAGCTTTTCAGGCTTCACGTGTCGTAAAACTGGTAGAAAACCAGATAGGGGCTGCTGCCACCCCCAGTGTGTGTAGCCACCGTGTGACAGGGTATGTGGACCAGGGATGAAGGCTTTTTCCGCCTCCGTCACCTTCTCACTCTTGCCACTCTCCTGCTTTAAAAAGAGGACTTTGTTCTTTTTTTTTTTTCTTGTTGGGTCACATCCGGCGATGCACAGGGGTTACTCCCAGCTCTGCACTCAGGAATTACTCCTGGCGGGGTGCTCAGGGGACTATATGGGATGCTGGGAATTGAACCTGGGTTGGCCACGTGCAAGGCAAACAACCTCCAGCCCCAGGACTTGGTTTTTTATTGAGATTTTTACTATTTACTTATGATAAGGTTTTTATTTGTTTGATGTTGTTTTGGGGTCACACCTGGCGATGCTCAGGGGTCACTGCTAGTTCTGTTCTCAGGGATTACTCCTGGCATTGCTCAGAGCACTATAGGGGATGCCAGGGATTGAACCAGGGTCAGCTGCATGCAAGGCAGACGCCCTCCCTTCTATGCTCGAGCTTCTGCCCAAGTGTGCAGCTCACCTCTCCCCAAAATTCCATACCTATCTCACAGTGCTCTCCTTCAAATTTGCTTGGGCAGAGGCAGGCATGAATGTAGGAGAAATGCTTGTAGGACACACAGGTGCCTCCGTTCAGACAGCCACAGTCCCCTGGGGGTGACAAAGGAGGGTAAGGGAGGAAAGGCGGAGAAGGACAGGAGGAGGCCAGCCCAGCAGCAGGGCTGGGGAAGGGCATCCTCGGCTGTCCCATCCGACCTATCTCTCCCCAGGCTGCAAGAGAGGTGCAAGGGTGAGGGGGTACTCACTTGAATGGGACCTCCAACGATATCCATGCGCACCCTAGGAAAGGGAGTGAAGGCAAGGTCAAGACAGACCCATGATCCGGGATAAACTGGCCCTAGTCCCTAAATTCACACTTGCCCAACTCCCGCCTCTCGCCTCACCCCTTCATCTGCAACTAGTCCAAAACGGAACAGGCTCGCAGACCAGAGCAGGAAGGACTCCAGCAAGCGTCCCGCTCAAGCGCTTGCAGCAGGAACCCCCTCGGGGGTCGTCCTCCTGGGTAGCTGCAGAACCCCCTTAATCTTCCAGAAACGCCACCGCAGCCCAGAGGATCCCACTTGCCCAGCCGGGTCCTTAGTCCGCGGGACTGGCCCGGCCGCAAGCTGCCCCTTCCTCGGCCCGGTGCCGGTGCCACCTCCCACCCGCGTAAGTCACAGCGGAGACACCACTCACCTGGGCGTGGATCACGACCAGGGAGCAGAAGAGCAGGCTGGCCAGCGGGACCCTCATGGCCTGGACGCTGGCGCTCTAGCGCGCGGCTCTGCAAACGGAAGCCCAGGTCAGAGGCGCGCGCTCGGCGGGCCGGCTCCTGCAGGCGCCCCGGGACTCCCGGGCCCGCGAACCGGGCTCGGCACCGCCAGGACCCGCACAGGCACCGGAGCGCCCGCGGCCAGGGCTGCGGGGGGAAGAGGCCGCGCCCGGAGCTGCCCTGCGCGCTCGGCCCCACCCGCACTTACCGAGCTGCAGCGGGAGGTGTGCGGAACCCGGTCGGTTCTGTTGGGCTGGGAACCGGTGGACACCGAAAGGCGCGAGGGAGCTCGGCCTCTGGGCTCAGGGCTCTGGCGGCCGTGCTGGGCGCGGGCTCTTTATTAAGACCCGCCCTGGCCCGGCCCCGCCCAGCGCTCCCCTCCCTCCGCCCTCGCGCGCCCGGAGCGCGCGATCCCCAAAAGAAGGATGGAGAGAGGTCTGCTTGCAACACCTCCCATTCATCGCCCTGGGCCCCGCCTCAGGGCTCCGGGCCCAGATTTGCAGAGCGGCAAGAGGGCCTCGAAAAAAGGCGCACTCTGACGCCACATCTGTCCTCCGACGCTCTCAGATGCCTTATCAGCCCTTCTGCGAGCACTGCCCTCAACAGCCTGCGAGTGCAGGGCAGAGTCCGCACGCAGGGCATAGCTGTCATTAACTGACCCTCAGAGTGCTAAAACGGTACTCGGGTCGAATATCATCCATGAGAAAATCAGATATTGTTGCCAAGGGTTAGGGACGGTCGTGGTGCAGCAGGCCCCTGTCCATGCTTTGCAGGTGGGTTTGAACACAGCCTCTCTGGGGGATCAAGCAGTGGGGTGTGGCCCCAACACCAAAATCACTGTCACTGTCCTCCCCTTGTTCACCGATTTGCTCGAGCAGGCCCAGTAACGTCTCCATTGTGACAATTGTTACTGTCTTTGGCATCTCGAATACCTCACGGGTAGCTTGCCAGGCACTGCCGAGCCGGCGAGATACTCTCGGTAGCTTGCTGGGCTCTCCGAGAGGGGTGGAGGAATAGAACCTGGGTTGGCTGGGTTGGCCACATGCAAGGCAAACGCCCTACCCGCTGTGCTATCGCTCCAGCCCCAAACCAAAATAAAGCTATAAAAATACATTTAAAACCACCAAGGGGACGAGAGGATCAAACAAAGCTGAATTTGTTGCTCACACAGTGTTGAGGGCATTTAAGTCATGTGTGGAAAGTGGAAATTGGTTAGACGTTTTCGATTGGTTTAGGCCCTGTTCTCGCAGAGAGAAAGTGGCCAGAAGGGCTTGGGGAAAGGTGGAGATTGCTTATCAAATAAGATTAGGTGCTAAAGAAAACTGACGATGTGCAAACAAGTCCCACAGAACTTCCGGCCTAAGAGTGAGCACGGCCATTTATGGACACGCACCCTCCATGTATGCACCAGCAGTTCTGGCACAATGGAGGGAGCCCCGAGGAGACTCTGCAGCTTTGTCACTCCCCCGCATCCTCCATCAGGACAGTGCTCCTAGGTGGAACTGCAGGGGCAACCCCAGAGACCATGCAGGTGTAGACCCCCACCCCACCCCATCAATCTCTCGCACATCACATGGTCTCCTGAGCACCACCAGAGTGATCCCTGAACAAAGAGCCAGGAGTAACACCTGAGCACTGCTGGGTATGGCCCCCCACCCCGCAAAAAATATATCAGACTGAGACCCTTTCCCCTGCCGCCAGACTTGACCTTACAGCTGAGTGCTGTGGACGGGGACAGAGGGGACAGCAGGGAGAAAGGAGACCTTCAGCGGTCTCAGGGGCCCTGCCTCGGGCCTGGGAAAGTGCAAGTTTCCAGCCTTGGGGACACAGGTGACCTACGTCCTCCCTGGAGAGTTTCTGGGCTGGATTAAGCTGCCAGCCTCCGGGAAGGAGCGCGAGCTAGCGGACTGAGTCAGCCAGCTGCGGCCTCAGAGCCTCGCTACTTCCTCTATCGGATTGACATGTTCTGTTTGGAGTGAAGAGGCCATTAATTGTAAATAAACGTGATCAAATGTAAACAGAGGGTGCAGCCTGGGGGCTTAACCCGAAACTCCTAGGTTAGTGATCAGGAAATTCCCAGCTGCCCACCGTGATTCACAGAGCTCTCTGCAGGGCATGACTCCCCATTACTTGGCTGGAGGCTGTCATGCTGATTCCTGAGAGCAGGGTGACCTCATTTCCTCCTGGACAAAGAGATCGAGACCGTTATGCTTTATGACACCCCCCTCCCCCCCCTTCCTCTCCACCTGGACCTTGTACCTCCAAGCTCCTCAGAGTTTCCCTTCCACTCTGATCTTTAGCACGCCCTGAAATCTCTGGTCATCTTTGGGGGCATCAGTCCAGGTTGGACTTTCAGTTCTCTTTGGGGGAGAAAGGATGCTGGCTCAGGGCTTACTCCTGACTTTGTGCTCAGACATCACTCCTGGCAGACCTCAGAGAAACCACATGCAATGCCGGGGATGGAACTGAGGTTGGCTGTGTGCAAGGCAAGTGCCTTCCCTGCTGCACTATCTCTCAGTGCCGGCCTATTCTCGGTTCTGTGAGGGCAGAGACTACATCTTAAATCTCCTCATCTCTCCCTTTGCACTTGGGACATGCCTTGTTCACAAGGGGGCTTTATTAGGAATGAATCTGCTTTATTATGAATAAACAAGTAGGAACAGAGCCCTTTGGGAAAACTCTGGAAACTTCCTCCTCTCTTGCTTTTTCTTGCCAAAAAAAAAATAATAAGAGGACAGTCATCATTTCTGTCTTGTGTTACAAATTTCCTTGACATAAATTCCTTCTCTTTAAACTTGAACTGCTACTCCCATTTTGCAGATGAGGAGAATTAGTTGAGGAGAAGACAGATACATGGCTAATGAGTGGCAAAGCCCTCACGAGAATCCATGTCTTTGCATCCTTAGCCCAACGCTCTAAGGCCAGGCGCATGCTGTATAGAGAGAACCAGTGGCGGGATAAAAGGGTTAAACAAGGGGCTGGAGCCATAGCACAGTGGGTAGGGCATCTGCCTTGCATGCAGCCAACTCAGGTTTGATTCTCAGCATCCAATGTGGTCCCTGAGCACTGCCAGAAGTGATTCCTGAGTGCGGAACCAAGAGTGACCCCTGAGCATCGCCGGGTGTGACCCAAAAAGCAGGGGGAAAAGGGGCTAAACAAAAGAGTTGGGGAGTCCTTGGTTGGCCTGAAGAATCTCCTCGCAGAAACATTCCTGGGATCTGAACTGAAAGTTCCTAGAAAGTTTGGGGCTGGAGAAATAAAATAGAGGGTAAAGCATTCGCTTTGCGTGCTGCTGACTTGGGTTTGATTCCCAGCAACCCGTATGGTCCTCTGTGCACCACCAGGGTAATTCCTGCATGCAAAGGCAGGAGTGGCCCATAAAAACAAAACAAAACAAAACACACACAAAACAAGAACAGCAAAAAATGAAAGTTCTCACCATCATGAGTTAGTGACTTGCCTGAGAAAGAACTAATTGCGAGGTCTAATTCATCTGAAGGGCTGGAGCAATAGCACAGCGGTAGGGCGTTTGCCTTGCACGCAGCCAACATGGCCAACCCGAGTTCGATTCCTCCGCCCCTCTCGGAGAGCCCGGCAAGCTACCGAGAGTATTCATATGCCAGACACAGTAACAACAAAGTCTTCAATGGAGACGTTACTGGGCCCGCTTGAGCAAATCGACGATCAACGGGAGGGCCTTTTTAATTCATCTGAAGTTTTTTCATAATGAGAGAGAATAAGGAACTGAATGCGTGTGACTTCTCTCAGAGGCACACCACCAGGCTCCGGATTGCACGGGACCTGACCACCTGAGTCAGATGTGGCCACGGAGCTATCAGAGGTGGTCCACTTCCCGTGATCTGCTCACGAAGGGTGAGCAGAAGTCAGGTGCGCCAGGAGGACCAGGCGGTCTGAACCGGACCCTGGGAAGGTATCTAGGAAGTGGTGGCTTTTTCTCACCGGCAAGAGCGAAAGGGAAGTTCACACTGAGTCACAGTGTTTCTGGACAGCTCGACGAAAGAAGTGAATTCCACACTGTACGTGGATGAAGGGCACAGTATCTCGCCTCAGCTCTGCCATAACCAAATTAAGTGACCTTGCCGGAAGAACTCTCGAATCTCAGTTCCCCATTTGCAAACCAAGGCAACATCTGCTTTGCCTAAGCCTCCGGGACAGATCTAATGTGTCAGCCGTGGGCCTGACCGGCACCAGGCACAGTTCTATGTGAGAAGGTTCGCTTTGTTTTGGAGTTGTTGTTTATCAGGGGGTGGGGGGTAGAAGACAGTACTGGGGATCAAACCCAGGGCCTCACTGGCCTCATCCCTGTGAGCTAACCCCCCCCTCCGCCCCCAGGCAGCCCACAGGCACTGCTCAAGATGCTGGAGATGGATGAACTTTGTACACTATCATTTCCGATCCTCCGTGTCTCCCTTGCCTGGTGGATCATGGCTGTCCTGGACCCGAAGAACTGGCCATTCTGAAAGCCTTCCCAGAATTCCAGCAGTGTGGTGTCCCCAGCCAGCAGTTCCCAGCAACAGGGCAGCTGCAAGCACTGCTCCCCACCCCCGCAGCCCGACTCCCACCCGCTCCGCCTCCTCTGTCTTCTGTGGCCTCCATCTCTCCACTGCACCTTCTCTGTGGAAAGCTGTGGGATGGGAGTACAGTTACCCAAACAGCTTCCTTGGGTCCAGAACTCTTCCCCTGGGTTTGAGGCCACCGGATGGACAAGTCCAGACTAGACATCAGCAGCTGCAGGAAGCCTGGTCCCGGCCTGAAACCAGAGAGGGAAGTTGGAGCTCCCATGTCCCCAGTGGTTGTGGAGTGGGGACAGGGATCAGGGAAGCCACATAGTTGTGTCCTTACTCATAGACAGCCAGATCCCAGGGGCTGTACCCCACGGCTAGATTTTTATCAGCAGCACTGTGGAAAGCCTGTGTGCCGGGGAGGCCAGGTCCGAGGTGACCCCTTCCTCCACTCTGGCTTCCGCTCCGTCCCTGGCCCAGTTTCCAGCCCCCGGTTCCCTCTCAGACTTCTGCCTAATTTGAGTCTCAGTCAGATTTTTCCATCTTCCCTAACTTAAATCCAGCATTTCTTTTGTAGCTGTTGTGTTGCTTTGGGGCCACACCCAGCCATAGTTAGGAGTTACTCTTGGTTCTGCACTCAGAAATTACTCCTGGCGGTGCTCGGAGACCATTTGGGGTGCCGGGGCTTGAATCTGGGTCTGCTGCGTGCAAAACAAGCGCTCCTCATACCATACTGTCTCTCCAGCCACCAGATTCAGC